GGTTTTTTCATACCCCTGGGAGGAAATTAACAAAAACATTTTGAAATCTTTAAAAGACATCAGAGGAAACACTGAAAATCAATAAAAATTCGAATTTCGCGCGCTTTTACCGGCAGCTGGCCTAGAAATCTCACACCTGGCCGCTAGGCCACCAGATACAACTTTGACTTTTCGATGCCGTTTTTCTCAATGAATGATTTTTTTTTCGAATTTTTTCTTTATTTTTATGGAAATCTACAAATCTACTTTTTCACCGCACAAAGTTGAAAGTCAGGGGGCCCTTCTATTACACGTTTTACTGACACTTATATTCTTTGAAGGATTATCTAACTAGGACACAAATAAGGTTCAGTTTTGAGATTTGGGAATTTTCAATTTTCCATAAATTCCACATTTTCGAAAATTCTTAAATTCTAAAAAAAACCGAAATTCTCATGAAATTTCCAAAATTCGGAAATTCCAACAATATCCAAATTCTAAAAGTTTTGAAAATTCAAATTTTCGAAACTTCTGAAATTCGGAAAATTTTGAAATTCGACTTCTCAAAAATTCTTAATTTCTGAAAAATACCAAATTCTAAAGTTTCAGAATTCCCTAATACTAAAATTCTGAAAATGCTGAAAATCCAAAAATTCCAAAAAAGTCAAAATTTACAAAGTTCGAATTTTTGTGAAATCCGAAAAAGTCCAAAATCGCAAAAATTTGAATTTCTATAAAATTCCAAATTTTCAAAATTTCTCATAATTCTGAAATTAAAAAAAAGCTCGACTTTCAAAAAAGCTCAAAAAACGTCCAAAAATTCCCCTCTAATTGAAGGGCCCCTGTAATAGAAGGGCCCTCCGGAGGTACAATGGAACAATAGAAGGGCCTGCCTTTCTAATACAGGTCTTACGGTAATTTGGATACACAAATAAATATGGTTACGGTAGTGTAGAATATCAATAGGAAATGGGTACAATAGAAATTTCCTGAAATTCTGAAATTCCAAAATTCCCGAAATTCCCAAAATTCCTAATTTTCCAAATTTCAAAAATCTCTGACTACTGTAGCGTTTCCATTCCTCTAGATTACTGTAGCGACCTTCCACGTATTGCTTAGATGGTGTCAAACTGATAAAAACAGTGTAAATACCGTGGGAAATCGCTAGAATCCCCTATCAGTTCGTTTGTACCCTTACAGCGAATAATCAACCAACTCAAAAAAGAAGAGCCATGGCTGTAGAAATGATCGTCGAGCCCAAATGGGTGGTGCAAAACTTTGGAGTGAGTTTTAGCGAGTTTTAGGCTCCGCCCATTCTGAACACGTGGTTCCACCTAGCTGTTTTGAGCTCCGGAGGCGCGCTAAACAGCTAGAACCTTCTAAGTAAACCAGCGCGCCTCCGGCGCTTCAAACAGCTGGATGGCGCGCCTTCGGCGCGATTCAATCTAGTAATTTTACTGATTTCAGAACGTCCGCATCCTCGACTGCTCATGGACCTTCAAGCCGAAAGCCGACGTTGCCGAGTACAAGGCCAAGTACTACAACAAGTTTGGCGTCGGAATGAACGAGTTGAAGAATCCCGAGTACCTGGCTGAACACATCAACGGTGCCGCCCACTTCAACTTCGACATTGCCTACTATCCGACGGAGGACGAACGCTTTGGACTGTACACTCCCGAGGAGTTCTCGTCGTATGTCAAGCGATTGGGCGTGTTCAACGGAGACCATTTGATTTTGTATGGACGTGGAAAGGATGGTGGTATGGCTGCTGCGTCGAGAGCCTATTGGACTTTTAGAGTTAGTAACTCAGACCCTAATGACCTAATTCTACATCAATAATCCTATTATTCCAGTACTACGGTTACACCCAAGTGTCTGTTCTCAACGGTGGACTCGATGCCTTCAAGCTTGCCCAGGGAGTGGTCCAATCTGGTGAGAGCATGATTTCGGGAGGAAACTTTGAGTCCAAATCGGTCGACAATAACATTCTCGCCAAATTGGCCGATGTTCCATTTGGAAACCTCTCTTCCATCAAGTACCTCGACGCTCGTAGCAAGGAAGAATTCATTGGAAAGGTTCCAATTGGATATCCAGACTCTAAGGCTGAGGGTGTCAGATGCAAGGATGCCATTCATTTCCCAATTGGAGAAGTTTGCGCCGCCAAGGGATTCAAGAAGAAGACTGATTGCGATCAAGGTAAGTTTTTACAAATTTTGCTCAATTTTTGAGCTCAGTTATCTCGGCTCCTGTGAGTGGTATCAAAGATGTGTCAACTGATAAAATGTTGCTGATATACATAATATCAGCAATGATTGAACTTTTGAGGGATTTGAGGAAAACTTTTGAGGGATAATAAAGCTGCAGGAGCCGACATTGCACCGCTCAAGAATTTTGAAAAAATTCGAGAATGAATAAAAATCGCGAAAAATTAGTTTTGAAAAAGCTGGAGTGTCACGAAAAAATTATATAAATTTGAAAAAAGTGAAAAGTCATATAGCCTCTATTATCAACTCATATAGCCCCTAATATGATAAACAATTTATCTGTTGACACATTGTTTCTCTTTCACAGAAATCGAGATAAATTGGCACAAAGCTACGGTATTTTAATTCTAATCATTCTATAAATTTCAGCCTTCGCCGCGAAGGGAATCAAGGTTGGTGACACTGTTGTCATTGGATGTGGAATCGGAGTGTCTGCCTCTGCAGTCTGGTTGGCAGCCGCCCGTTCGGGAATTGTTGCCAAATTGTACAATGGAGGAGTGCACGAGCTGGCCTACAAGGCTCCACAACACCTCAACACCAAGGGTTAATCTACCCCATTCTCTGCTATGATCACAAAGTCGCTGGCCGGTGTTTTAACTCTTTTTTTTTTGTAATTGTGTGAAAGGTGGAAAATTAAAAATGCGAATTGTCTTACGTATTTTACATCCATGTACTGGGGAATTCGGAAATTTGAGAAAATTCCAGGAAATCATAAATTTCAAGAATCCGAAAGAAACGGCAATGAAGAATTCAGTTTTTTTAGCTTTGGGTTTCGGGATTTCAGAATTTTTGGAATTGCAATTTTTTGCAATTTTCGACTTTCTGGAATTTCCAAAATTTTTACAACTTTTTTGAACTATGATTTTTTGAAACTTTTGGGAATTTTGGATTTTTGGAAAAAATCCGAAATCGAGAATTTCGAGAATCCGGAAGAACCGTACTTTCAAAACTTTCAAATTTCAAAAAATCCGAAAAATAACAGAAAATCATACATTTCCAAAATTTTCGAATATTCACATTTCGAGAATTCTGAAAAATTCAAATTTCTAAAAAATCCAAAATTTCTGAAATCACAAAAAGTTTGAAAAATTGACATTTCAAAAAAATTCTAGAAAATCATACAATTCTGAAATCCAGAAAACCAAATTCCAAAAGTTCTGAAAATTTAAAACAATTGAAATTTCGAAAATTCTGAAATCCAGAAAAAATCCAAATCTTAAAATTCTGAAATTCCAAAATACCGTAAAACCTGTAATAGAAGGCTCCAATTTCATAGAAGTTGGGGACCAAGATTCTTTGGAGAATCAGGAATTTTGATCTCAAATCATCGTTAATAAATTTTCCAGCGCCTCACCGAGAAGCTCGCCAACCTCTCCTCTCACTTCCGTCCAATCGCCGACCTAACCCACGTATGCGGCCGGCCATTCATCTACCCAATCCCCTTCCGTCCAGCCTTCCATCCTCCAACATCATATTGGGAAGATTTTGGAGTGAATGCACAGAGCCCATATACCCAGTT